GGGCGGTTCAAGCCACCAGATCGCTCCTACGGAGACCGATGTGGCTGTTGGCTTCTGTAAAGACTTAGAACGAAAAAAATGAATGAAATAAAATGTAAACAAAACAAAACAAAAACGATTTAGAACTATGGATAACCTAAGGTCCAGTTCTACTCTGACTGATCTACAGGATCCTACACTCAATCACTCCCCCATACAGGATTTGTTTTGTTTTGTTTTGTTTTGCTTGTGTGCAAAACTGCGAAATTAGTGCTGGAGGCCTTATGCGTTCTGTAAACGATAGATCCAAACAGTGGTTTATAAAAACTTTTTTTTAAAAAAAGAAAAAGAAAGGTATAAAACTTAAATAGGCTTAATTTTTTAGGTTTACTAAAAATTAAACAGAAAGTTTAGTTTCCACATTACCACTCACACCCAACCCCAGTTTCCTGTATAATAAAGCTATTGAATTGGTGTTATATATTAGTAGTTTTAAATAGCCCACACAAATCACCTAGGGAGCCTGCTAAAATGCACATCCCCAGGCTTTGCATTCAGTAGCTGCCTTGCTGGCCTGAGAAGTGTTCTAGGAATGCTACACTTTCAAAGGGAGCCATAAACGTGAGTAACATTCGGATCTATTTTAGTAAAAAATTTTAAAGGACATTATAAATATTTTAAAATCTAAGGCATTGTAGTAGCAGGAAAAGTACAATTTGTTCTGGGAGTGAGAGGAGCCTATGGGATTGAAAAGTAGGAAGATTAGGCATAGAGGCGGTTGTCTCCACCAAATCCCTAAACTAAACAAAATTTAGATGGCATTCCACAATAAAGGGGTTTGGAAGAAATCAGGCACACATTAGACACCTATGGGGACAATCCAATGCTGGACATGCTCAGACCAAGGTCACTTAGACATAGGTGAAAGTCAACCTGGGCATGCACATTAGGCACGCAATATATATATGCACTTGATCTCAGTCACTAAGATAAGCCAATACACTCAACCATGTCCACCCTCCCCCCACCCCTACCCCCCATGTGGGGATAGGAGAGGATAAATCCAGTTGCTCTCTTTCAGATTGGCAGGCACAATCTCTCCAGGGGCACCTCTCTTTCTCTTTTGGGTCGGTGGACTCCACTTTGTACCTGGTTGTTGGTGCTCCTCTGAAGTGGCCAGTCTGAGTCCTGAACTCTCCCACCGACCCCATCCTTGCCGTCTTGCACGCTTTCCAGGGATAGTGTGCACTGTCGGAGACTGTGCTACCCAAAACTTCCCTTTCCCTCATGAAAGTTACTTGGATTACAAAAGTGTTTCTGCTGCGTGAATATGTTGTGTTGAGAAGCAAGAACTGGGGGAAACCATTCCAGAGACCTAACAGGATGAGGGGCATTGGAGTGGTTTGGCTTGGAGAAAGTTTAAAGGAAAGTAGAGCTAAGTACAATCTTAAAACGA